CGTTCCTGACGTTTCTTTTCTTCCTCCTCGAGTTTCTATTGTTCCCGTAACTTTTCTTCTTTCTTCGCTTTCTTGTGATCTTCCTTCTCTTGTCTCTTAGCTTCCTTAGCTTCTACTTTGGCCAACAGAAGCTTGACCAAGTCACTCACCACACCCGATTCACTTCCACCTCCGCCACTCGTAGATGACGAAGCTCCCTTTTCCCACTTCCAAGTAGGAGAGCCCGGCTTCCCTTCCTCCATCTTCAAATACTTCCAACATTCAAATTTAAAGTACCCTGGCTTCCCACAACCATAACAGATAGGAGGTCCACGCCTCGGCGGTTGCTCACCTCCACCTCCTCCTTTCCCACCCCCTTCCTCTGCCGTAGCCATCACGACGCGCTTCTTCTCAACGAAACGTGATGCCACCACCAAGATTTGCCTCTCGTAGTCCGTAGCAGCACTTAACCCGTCAACGTACTTCACTTCCTCGCTCCCAGTTGGTCTCGAACACCTATCCAGGGTAGTCTTCCCCGTCGGTTAACGAGTGCACTGTCAGCAATACATGACAAAGAAACATCACAAAATCCACACGGGGTGCAAATTACGTAGTAAAGAAAGCCATATGGCTTATTACAAAAGACAGCAAGAAAATACAGCGTCACCAATGTTTGCAAGTGGCTGTGAATCTCCACTTGTCAGCACAGAGTTCGTCCCGGCTCCCTCTTTCGTTCCCCTCACCCCCATCCACCGATCGAACCGACAAACTGACGAACCAGCTGTCTTATCGACCATGGCGACCGAAGTCGAACACGACCGAACCAACCCGCTGTCGAAGAGGACAAAAGAAACGTGTTACTGAACTATATACTACTCATCATCCCGGAAATAGTTCTAGCCTTAACCTGCAAGCCCCGAAAACGAAGCTAAGTGCAGCAGTGTAGCCGCCAAACCCCAAACCCTGCCTCGTGGCTTCGCAAACGTATTGAGGACTTTCCCGAAAAATGAGTCGGGAAAGTTCTTTACCCGAAATTCTCGCCG